CAGATAGTTGCGCGGGGGCCGCGTTCCTCAGCCCGCGTTAAATGTCTGGGCAGGACACAGAAGACGTGGCGGTGCTTCCATGTCGCTATCCTCCCGCAGTGATGTCATGTCCCCTCTGTGTACCACAGCTCCCAGAAGGACATCTCCATGGGAGCCCTTGTGCCCTCAACGGGCCTTACCTGATCGGGCTGTCGCCCCTGCGCCCGCCTCCTGCCCTGGGCTCTCCATTCCACCACAGCCCCTTTCTTCCCCACCCTCCTCATCATCCCCGTTCTCATACTGCTGCTGAAGCCACAACCCAAGCTTGAACGACCCAGCCTGCCTGCGGCCTGCTGTGGGAAGAAATATGTTTGCTTTTGTCGAAGAGTCTACCTTTGGGAGAGCAGAGGGAGGCTGAGGCACAAGAGGTGCTCAAAACACAGTGGCTGGAATAATAAAGGAAACAGAACATTAAAAGTAGTTTTACCAGGTTGTTTGTATTCATGGCTGTGTTTTACAGGACCAGGGAAACATATCTTCAGCACTGCAGTTTAGTTTGAGCTAAAAACTGCCTTCCCGTCCATTTTTTTCAGGTTAGCCTGCCCAGAATATTGCCTAAGGCATTAAACGTTTCATGAAACAAGGTCAGGAAAAAAGGCTTTCTTAGATCACTAAGGAGTCCTTACGTGATACCTGCTTTAGTCCATCTCTCCTTCCTTCAGTTTAATCATTTATACACGTATCATGTATGTATAATCCTCACAGTGAAATCCACATACAGACTTTCAACATCCTATAATTTTAACCCATACCATGTTTTCTTTGGATTTGTTCCAAAGATAGACACACAGTCCAATTTTATAAGTCCCCAAACCAGATCCAGTGTTTTTCTTTTCTTACCATGTGAAAAGGCCAGCTGACCAGGCACTAACGTGCATCCTGCCCAGGTACCTCCAGAGGGAACTCAGTGTTCTACCTTTCCATACTATGGCTCAAAGTCTTTTTGTTTGCTTTTTTTCAGGACAGCAATACCTTCTAACAGCATTTAAACACCTATTTCTGTTCTGATCAATAACAAGGGTCTTTTTACCAGGTAAGCAAAAGTGCAGCACTGCAGGAAATGCAAACGTCAGAGAACTGCAGAATTCTTTATTTGGGAAATAAAAAAGGAGGGAAAACAAGACACTGAGCAGCACCAAATATGGTTCTTTTCATCTTCATATGAAAATGGTGAAAGTTCACAGGAACCGTTTTTACAAACTGCTTTGGCAAAGGATATGAGAACTAGAAAGGACCTTTTAAATATATGATACTTGCCTAGAAGAGATAATGGCTGCAAAAAGTAACTAGATTCATCAGCTGGCTGTTCACTGTTGTCATCCTCATCCAAACTGATCATTAGTTTACTGTCTTTTCTACATCCAAGGCTGGGAAGATCAAAGAACCCCACAAATTCTGATTAGTTTCCCTCAACTGACAGCACTTCTCTTTCCTCTCACTGGAGATCTCATTGCTTCCAGTTTGAATATTGCCTGGTAACCAGTTTTTAAAGCAGGATAATGGAATTTTCTTCAATATGTTGTGCAATTTGTCGTAGAACACAGAAGGATTCATGCCATTTCTAGAGCTTCTGTTTCCATCCTTTACTCTCTTTTATCTGTAGCTGAAGTTTTAATCTTTTGCCAGAAGGAGTTACCAGACCAGGTTAAGACTGAGCGTGAGATATCTATTGGGTATATCTGCTTAAAGACCTGTTTGTTTCTTTGGTAACCAATCTCCTCCCTCTGGCTTTCACAAACCCTAATTTAGCCCTTGCCCAGCTGGCAAATCCATTCATAAGATGCTTGAATGAGGTGTGCGTGGCCAATTCTGTCCACCAGGTTAAAATACTCTGTAAGGCCAAGAAGGTGTCATACCCGGAAACATTCCACAGTAGAGCACAGGATTGGCAGCATTATTTGTAAAGGCCCAGATAATCATTGTGTTAGCAATTTAGCTGGACAGATCTGATGGTTCATTTTGCCTTGTGTGAGCTGTTTCTTGGTACACTGAGAACACAGAAATTGCTGTGAGAAAAGTCATCATTTTGGTTTGAATTTAACAAAACATAAAAATTAAGAAACAGATACAGAGAAAGAAGGTGAATGGGAGGGTGAGGAAGGACAATGGAAAGATGATTAGGAAGATCAAATCTTTTAGTCTCCCTTTGTTTTGTCTTATCTGGTTAATCTTTCACATGAAGATCTACTAAGACAGCTCTTGAAGGAAATGAGAGAATTACTTACTGAAGTACTATAACCCATGCTTGGGGTTCCATCTCTTGTTCAAAGTTTTCAGTTATTATCTTTAAGCAGAAAGGAACTGAAAAGAAATATTTTTTTTTGTGAGCTTGGGTCTTAGAACATACAGATTTTAGACATGATTTTTCCATGATTTTACTATCGGGGATTATAAGAATACAAAAGCTTGCTTGCAGCTACAGAAGCAATTTAGGTAACAATTTATCATTGAAAACCTTCTTTTTAAGGTTGATGCATTCATTCCACAGACAAATATTTTTTAAAAAAGAAAATGTTCATCTTAGATGAATTGAATTTGCCATAAATTAGTATGATTCTTTGCCAGCAAGGTGCTGATACAACTGTCGATCAATCTAAACCTGGTTGTTTGTAATAAATGGAAAAGAAAAAAGTAAAAATTACTCAAGCTGAGGCATCAGCCTAACATAGGACAAAGTGTTTTCTTTGAAACCATTGCCCTCTGGAGGGAGAATGAAAAATCACGGAAGGATTAAGTAAAAATTTGCTTTCATGTCACTGCATAACTGAATATATGCTTTACAGTCCAGGAGTGGTTCTATACAAATAGGAATGCTCTGTCAGAAAGCCACAGTGCCTGTTTCAGTGAAGGCTGGAGAAGAAGTAATCCCCATCTGTCTGCCCCATTACTCTCCTCCCCTTTATCTCTAAACTCTTTATCTCTAAACTCACTGAACATCCATTCTACAACAGATGTACTTTCTCTTCCAAATTCATCTTGGATCCCTTCCAAGCTGGTGTCATCCCTTTTTAATTGCCAAAATATTTTTTTATGCAATCCCTAAAGAATTCTTGCCTGCCTGATATCAGAGTCTGTATTTCATCCTTTTTCTTGACATTTCTGCTGGTTTTTTTGGGGGTGTGTGGGTGGGGGTTGTGCTTTGGTTATTAAAAGAAAAAAAAAGTTACTATGTTGATTACCCTTTCCTTCTTAATCTTTTATTCTTGCAAGGTTTTGAGAAATTGTCTTCTTTTATCTCTCTACTTTAATGTCTGGCATCTATTTAAAGAGATTCTTTTCTTCCTGTCTCTGAGAAGTTAACAGGGATTTTTCCCTTGGCCTTTAGATATTGACAGCTTAATATCTTGGATAATCACATTTAAATGTCACCTTTAGTTGAACATGAATGAAAGTAAGCTCTTTCCTGCTCAGACTTCCCTTACATATTCACCCTGTGTTGCAGAGGAAATTATAATATCTCACAGTGGTCTTTCCAGTTTGATTGATAGCAACTTGATGTTTCCTGGCTACAAATCTGGTGACTGTTTTAACTCTAGGTAGGACACATGCACCAGCCATCTGAAAGAAGGTGACAGCAGCACTCATCTACCTGTAGGGCTAGCTGTGTTCAGCATCTAGGGTTTCAAAGAAGAGTGCAAAATACAGAAGTCTGGAAATGAAATTGTGCAAGGAAAGAGAAGCCCAGAAATAGGAATCATTCCCAGAAGATGGGTGCCCCAAATTAAAGCTGGAGTGGGGTTGTTAATGTAGTAGTTTGAGGCACTAATTTTCATCCAGAAAAATAACGGGTAGTAACAATCACCTTTATTGCCATGATTTTCCCTTCAGCTGTTAAGCTATACGCAGGTTAGTGATCACCTCAGCTGTCTCTTTATAACTCTTTGCTGCTTTTTGTTATACCTGGAGTGGTTTCTCCTTATATTTTTCATGTTGCTGTTTTCATGGTCATAGATCTGTCGATCTTTTTGATGTTGTTGCAATGATCTGTGTGCCTTCCTCTGCACAACTTTGCGTCTTTGGCTTGATCTTGAATAAATCTATAAGGACCTGAAGTACCTAAGTAAGCCCTTCTGGAAAACAAAATTTTTTTTGCTATTTATAAATATTATTATTTGTATCACAATGCATGCTGTTCTTCCCCAATTTTCCATTTGCAGGCTGTATCTTAAAGCCCAAAGTCAAGAAAGGATTTCATTTGGATTTTACCACTAACCTGCCTTACTGTCAACTTGAACATACTTTTTATTTGGTTTACCTGACAGCTTGATTACTTTCTTTTAATCTGTGAACAGAGGACAAAAGCCACTTTTCATTTCTACTCTTTTTAGTCTGTGGAGCTTCCTTTCTTGTACTCATAAACATACATAATGGTATTTCTAAACAAATGAAAACCTGTAACTCACAGATCTGAGAGAAAATAGAGGAAGAGCCAGCAAAAAGAACCAAGAAAAGTTCCAACAGTTGATATCACCTAAGGAAAATACTTAGGTGGTAAATCCCAGTGAAATAAGACATCTCTGGTTTTTAGATTCTTCCCCAGTGTGGTTGTTTCCTAAAAGGCAGCTTAGTAGTGGTAATTATGTTAATGATGAGAGCCTCCTATGTGATAATGCTGCAATGTAAAGCTTAAGCTTTATATATTTATCAGTCAAGAGTATGACTCTAGAGTATATTGTTCACATTTTATAAACCTGAAATGCCATAAGACTTTCTCTTGAGGGTAAAGTAGATGTACAGTAAGACAGCTGTAACATACTGTCAGATGTACATAACATAATTATACTTCTCGGTCTCGTCTTCTAAATCTTCACTGAAATAGTTTTGCACTCTAATTTCCTGGTCTTGTTTGGTGTAGGTTTTCATTTTGTGCATCTCCGTTATACATGAAATTTTTGTGGCCATTCTCTACTGTACTTCTACTCACATGGATGTCTGAATATGATGTGAGGCAGCATCACTTGAAAATTTATTCTACTTAAAACTTTCATTTTAACATTTCCCTAGTTTTTGAACTTGTTCTCAGCAGATTATAAACAACATCTGGGGCAGTTAATTTCCATCCAGCATGACTCTTGCTCGCCAGCATTTAAAGCATTCTTAAAATCTATTTTATTTGAATCCATAACAGCATTTTTTTGTTGTTGGCAATAATCTGAAACTAAAATTAAAAGATACTAACATTTTTGTCTTTGAGAAACATGCTCATAAAAATCATTCATGCATCATTTCATCATATACCTCAATCTGGGGTGTCATTACACAGAGGAAATTCTGGTGTGGCACCAAGTGCCTTTGTAGATATCCATGCTGATCCCAACTTGATGTCTTCCTTA